CCAAGCGCCATGGAGACTTGTTCCAATGGTCAGGGCCATGGCTCTGATGAACTTGCGCCCATGTGGGTGATGGAAGTTGCGCACCTGCTTGCAATGACAGGGAAGCTGAAACACCATCAAGCCCTCAAGGCTGAAGGTCTTCTACGTCACTGGAGCTCGGGGCTGTTCACGCTCTTTGTTTCACACCAGTGGCTCGGTCGTCACCATCCTGATCCCAATTCTGAGCAATTGCGAGTGCTTCAGGGGCTTCTAAGGAATCTTTTGGCAAAGACCGTGACGATAGAGTACGATGTTCTTACGCAGTTTTTCGGTGGTACGGGCCCGAAAGCAGAGCTTGACAAACTGGTTGGTGCTTATTTGTGGTTGGACTACATCTGTGTCCCTCAGCTCGTCGAATCTGCCAGTTCAAGCCTAGCTTACGAGCAGCTCCGCTACGTGTGGAGCATACACAGCTACGTGGACCGATGTGCCCTTTTTTTGGCTTTGGTGCCTCCGTGCATCCATCATGACACAGGAGTGCCATGCTCACTGAACAGCTGGCTGGACCGCGGTTGGTGCCGCACCGAATTTTGGTGCAAGTCTTTTTCCACAAGATCGAAGGTTCCCATCGTGGTCGTAAAGGGTGAAGACTCCGCTCAATACATGACAGGCTTGTCTTCCTTGCGATATCCGGTTTACTCGGGTATGTTCGCTGTTGAGGATGACAAGGCTGCGTGCAGTCTACTTGTCCAGAAGGCTTTGATGAAGTATCTGTCCATGCTGCGTGCGGCCAAGAACAAGACGGCCTACCGATTGTACCTCTCCCTCTTCGAGCAGATGACTGGATGTGAGAACAAGAAACGCAGCATGGAGGAATTCCTTCATGATTTTTGCTTCTCTGAACCTGTGGGACAGCACAAGAGCCTTGGTCCTGTAGTTTGCGCTGCTCTCTCTGGAGATCATGAACTGCTTCGCAATCTAGTCAGTGCCAGGGCCTCCCTCCACGCACGCGCGCCCGGCATGCTTGAGACATTTAATGCGGAGTTGATGCCTTTGCACTTTGCTTTGGAATTCCGAAGTCAAGACCTACGAGTCTTGCAGACGCTGTTAGAGCTTCGAGCCGATCCAAACTGCAGCACCCTCAATGCTTCGTCCCCTCTATCCTCTTGCCGTACAGTGGATGCCGTAGACCAACTGGTCGAGAACAGAGCTGACGTGAATTTGGGAACAACAATAGCACAATTGCCCCCCATTCATTTCGCTGTAGGAGCAATCGGAGCACCTTGTGAAGTTGTTGCCAGACTTCTGGAGCTTCGAGCGGACGTGCTGGGCGGAGGGGGCGGAGTCGCATGCTCACCTCTCCACAATGTTGCATTCTCGGGTGACTCCCACAACGATCTGCGGAACGCGCAGCTGTTGCTGGACAACAAGGCGGACGTCAATCAGCGTTGCCGGCCGGAGGGCATCTTCAGGCCGATCGAGTTGATGGCTCGAGTCAGCAGCCGATGTGCCGGTAGGTCAGGTGCACTGGTCCGATTTTTCGGCAACTTGAGCTCAACGCCTCTGGGTTGGTGCGCCGTGTTTGGCAACGAAGGCCTCCTGACCTTCCTGCTGCGTGAGCGGGCTGACCCGGAGATTCGGAACAACCGAGGCCTCCGAGCCATTGACCTGGCTACTTCTGAGAGACTTGGTGGCCATTTGGGAAGTTTTTTCAATTCAAATTCCAATATGAGGCATGAGGTTTCTTGGACGGGTTCTGGCTCGCTTACAAAGCCATACAAAACTCAAAAAACAAGGGAATTGGAGGACCCCACTTATAGAAGCCCTAAGCCCTCAAGCCAGGAGAGTCCGGACGATCCTTCGAGATCCCGTTCCGCACATCTATTTGTTGGAGAGCGGATCTGAGTTGGTCACTGAACAGTTTTAATTGAGCGCAATCATAATCACAATAATCAGAACAGAAGTGACTATAGCAACCATGACTATAGTCACAGTTTTTTCGAAATTAACAAAAAAAGATAATGATAGTAAGTAGCAAACAACAGCAGGGTAGGCCTGAG